AGAAAGAAAGAAAGAAAGAAAGAAAGAAAGAAAGAAAGAAAGAAAGAGAAATTGTGGGTTAGAGAGATGGCTCAGCAGTTAAGAGCACTGCTCTTCCAGGGGTCCTGAGTTCAATTCCCAGCAACAACATTGTGGCTCACAACCACCTATACTGGAATCTAATATCTCTTCCTGGAATGCAGGCGTACATGCAGGTAGAGCACTTGTGTAAAATGGATAAATACATCTAAAAGAAAAAAGTTGCAGATCAGAATAAAGATCAACAGGGGAGGCACTCAGTGTGGCACACTTTTTGGAAAGGGTGCCTCATGAACTTTGTCACAGCAACCAGATGCACATCCTTTCAGGCACGCAGGAAGCTGGGGCAAGAGGACCATTTTAACAACACAAGAGTTAGCAACCAGCCTGAGGACATGGAGAGACACTATATAAAAAAGGGTGTGAGGAACCAGAGACAGAATGAGAGAAAACATTGCTTATGGGCTCTAGAGTCCATAAATATTGTCGTGCTTAATTTGATTTTCCGGCATGCAATTCTGGATCAGGAAAAGAAATGGTTTATGAGCAAAGAAAAGTAGGGGGGAAAAAAAAGAACGTTATCATCTCTCAACTACTCATTCATTCATTCATTCATTCATTCCTGTACTAAGGGTTGTGCAGAAGGCACGAGTGATGTTAAGCCATGTTGAGCAGGCCCATCCTTCGGCGTGTAAGATAGCCACAAACCATCCTCACACAAAGAGGAAAGTAAAGGTCCCTCAGGGACGTGCAAAGTAAACCTCACTGAGGGACAGAAGAATCTGCTGACTACAAAGCACATCACCTGAAACACTACGGTGTGAAGAGAAGATCGTCTTTGCTAGTTCTCCGAACTTCTTGCTGAGCTATCTGCTGGATTATCTACCCCTCACTGGCATCTCCCCAGTTACATGTTCCCATTACCAGGGAATGGACAGAGCTGATGGTGACAACTAAGCCGTGCAGGATCTGAAATGGGCCAGGCTGTTTGGTCAACCAACGAATCCTCTCAGCGCCCTTCAGGGTAATCAGATTGGGGGGAGGGTGGTGTGAAAGACTATTGATTTTTTTTTTTGCACTTTTTACTTATTTTGTGTGTGTGTGTTATATGTGTGTTTGTATGTGTATTATATGTGGACATGCATGCCACAGCACACGTGTGAAGATCGGTGGCCAATTTTGGGGAATTGGTTCTCCTTCCGTTGTGTCAGTGTAAGGGTATTGAGCTCAGGTAATCAGGCTTGGTGGCAGGGACCTTTAACCACTGAGCCATCCTGCCTTCCCCCCCCCACACACACACACACACACCTTTTTTTTTCTCTCTTGCTCTCTTGTTGAGAAATGAACCCACGGGCCTGACCCATGTAGAGCATGAACTCTCTCACACTGCCGTAGTACTGCAACGATCCTCAAAGTAAAAAAAAAAAAAAAAAAAAAAAAAAGGATACACAAGAATTCCATGACTTTTCCAAAGCTAACTCACTAAGATTTGAATTAAAAGGCTGTGCCCTTGGTTGCCACTGTAACGTCTCCCCGCTAATCAATTACTGCCAAATTATCAGGACATTACACAGCTGGCGTAGAATGAACAACTTGGGGCCAATTTGCCCCTTTGAACACGCGCATCTATTTAAAACTATGCTTATTTATGACAAAAAAAAATTGCATGTATACACATTTATCGATCAGCTCTGAAGGTGAAATCCCTTTCCAAGGGCATAGCTTTCAAAATCTTTCAACTGAAATTCATTGCCCAGGATGGATAGTGGCGCATGCCTGTAATCCTGGCATTCTCCTAATTCCCAGGTTAATTGCTTGGCCTTGTGTTTCCCTACCTGGAAAGTGGGTCTAACAATAGCGCCATATCCTAAAGCGAAGGAGATGCGGTGCTATTGTCCACATAAATGCTAAGCGCAGTGCCTGGCACGGAGTGAGTGCTCGGTAAATGGATTTCATCACTTGGATGGAAGCCTCTGTGTGTCTCCAGAACGCAAATCGTCCAGTGACCACGGAAAGCTTTCCCCAGAGTCTCTGCCAACTCTTTAAGAACATCTCCACCTACAGCTCAAGAGAGCACAGTGACATCAGCCACCTGCTTCCCTGGACCGTGGCTCCCGAGGTGGCCATGTCGCCTCGCTCAGGCCCCGAAACAGGGCAGACGCTGCCTCCGGCTCCCAACAGCACAAAACTTAACCCCGCTTTCTCACTTGAGTGAACTCCTGCTGGAGATCACCAGGCTGGGCGAGCACCGATCCGCTCTGAAGGAATGCGGGCCCCGGGCCAGCAAGGGCAGCACTTCCACCTGCCAAGCGCCCGGGCTGGGCAGCCCTCCTCCGCGGCATCCACGGTGACTCCCACCCTGCGGCGGGGGGACGAGGGGCCCGCCTCGCAGCGCCGGTCGGATGCGATCCCCGCGTGTCCTCGGGAGGGCCCCGCCGCGGTGGGTGGGGGCGGGGGCCCGCCCGTGAACCGCGACCTCCGGGGTGCGCGCCCCGCAGACACGTGCGCGCCGGCGGCCCGCCGCCCCCGCCTCGGTCCCCGCCGCGCAGGCCCGCCCCGCGCTCACCAGGTGAAGAGTTTGCTCCGGACCCTGCGCAGCAGGCTGCCGGCAGCGCCCACCGCGCCCGGCTCCCGGGCTTCGGCGACCCCCGCCCTCGCCGGCGCCTCGGCCTCCATGGGGTCCCCACCAGCCTCGCGCGCCCGGAACCCCGAGAAGTGCTCGGGCCCGGAAGACAGGAGGCGGCGCTCGCTCGCGTCCCGGTGCTTCTCCGCCCGGCTCGGGCGACAAATCATTAACTGTCAAGCCCGTGGGGCCAGACCAGGCTTTCGCGGAGCCCCACCTGGCCCCTCTGGGAAGCCGGAGCAGAAAGGGGCAGGTTCGTTTCCTCCGCTAGAGTCCGCGCGGGGTGGGACACAGTGTAAATCCGAGAGACCGAGGGGTTGGGCTTCTCCGCCCCCCACCCCCACCTCCACCCCCGTGTGGGTGGAGTTGATTTGGTTTGTTTGACCTAAGGTCTCACTTCGTAGCAGGGACGATCCTGGAACTCGCTACCTAGCAGTGTAGGCTGAGCTCGAACTCGCGGCCGTCCTCCTGCCTCAGCTTCCGGAGGGCTTGGATTTTACAGGCTGGCGCTACCGCGCCCGGCGCGTTTCAGGATTTTACGGTCCCTTGTTTGAAATCTGCACTCGGTGATCCGATAAGAAGTTACCGCGGCTGGTTCCCGGAAGTCCTCCAGGCGGCCAGTCGGGGCTCGCCTCAACTTTGCAAGCTGGAGGAGCCCACTGAGCCCGCCCCCGTGTCCCGGCCCCCTCCTCCTCCATGAAACCACTGAAGAAGGCCAACAAAGATCAGGGAAGAGCGTCTTTGCTCCTAGCCACGTGGGTGTGTTGGGTGGCCCTGTCACGCTCAGTGCTGCCCTGGCCACGCCTTCTGATGCTTGGATGGAGCCAGAAGGAGCGAGAGGGAAGAAGTGGGGTGGGAGAGTCCCTGCCTCTCCTGACAGGAAGGCTGTAGCGCTGGTTAAGCACTTTTCCCCCCTGAGAGAGACCAGAAAGACAAGAAAAGGTGTAGAGACCTCTCCCCACCTCCTCACCCCTAACCCTAACCCCTTCCTTTGTGGATAAAGGAACACAGTAAAGGGTGGGTTCTAGAAGACTGTGGGTGCAGAAGGTCAGGTGGTTCTTTAAGAGGCACTAAGAAAAACCAGGTTTTAAACAGCTGGTAACTCACACCTTTAGTCGCAGCTCCTAGGAGGCGGAAGAAGGAGCATCGCCTTGAGCTCGAGGCTAGCCTAGAATAACGTGAGTAATAGGTCAGTGAGATCCTGCTTCAGAAACACAAGGCAGGGGTAGCGGTGTGTGGCTCATAAAGGTGCCCTTCGCCAAGCCTGTGTTCAATTCCTGGCGCCCACATGGTGGATGGAGAGAACAGATCGCTGCCATGTGAAGTTGAACTCCACATGCGGCAGTGGCACACACAAACACACAATCAAATCCATGTAATATATATATATTAAGAGCACTGTCTGCTCTTCCAGACGTCCTGGGTTCAATTCCCAGCAACCACATGGTGGTTCACAACCATCAATAATGAGATCTGGCGCCCTCTTCTGGTGTGCAGCTGTACATGCAGACAGAACACTGTATACATAATAAATCTTAATAATTATATTAAAAAGGGAATAGGTTTTGAAAAATGTAGCTAAACAAGCCCTTAACTTTACTAACTACAAGTGCTGTAAAGTTTAAATGTAATTATTTTCTGTTTGTTTTTGTTTTTTTGAGACAAAAATCTCACTCTGTAAAGCAAGCTGGCCTGAAACTCAAATATGTAGCCCAGGCTGGCCCCCAATTTAGGGCCTTTCTCCTGCTTCAGCCTCCCGAGGGTTTTGGCATGCAATCATTTGGCATGCTTAGCTGAAATGATTGTTGGGACTTACTCTAATTTTACTTACTTATTTTGGGGATTTGTTTTGAGACAGAGTCTAACTAGCCTTGGCTGCCCTGCAACTCACTGTGTAGCTCATACGACTCTCAAACTCACAGAAATGGTTCTGCCTTTCAAGTGCTGGGACTAACGGTGTTCGCCAACACACCTGGCTATTTTTTTTTTTCTAACTTTAAAAGGACTTAATCCAAATTGCCTTACAAACACTTGGGGTAGGGGAATAAAATGGGTTAGGTGGATATAGAGTGCTCAGGATTAAGTTGAGACTGAAATTATTTTCATAATTGTTAAAATAAATATTATCACAAAATAAATGTTGACATATTGGCTGGGGATATAGACAAACACACAAAGTTATAATTACGTAGACAGACAAGGCAGACAGCTAGATATAGACATATATTCATTTTCTTAGATGGACAGATGCATTGTGCGTGTATAGACAACTAGCTGAAGCAAGAGAGTAAAACTCAAAACTAAATGACCAGAGAAGACGGCCTGGTGAAGCCTTCTGGGAACACCAGAGGCACATGGAGGCCTGGCTCCGCTGGTGCTCACCCAGCTGGGTGAGGGTCTGGTTCCAGTCCCCGTAGGTGACACATGCCTGTAGTCCCAGCACTTGGATAAGTTCAAAGTCACCCTCAGCTACATAGTGACCTCAGGGTCGGCCTGAGATACATGAGACCCTGTCTATAGTTGATGAGGAAGGAGGGGAATGGAGAGCTCAAACAATAGCCCATTAAACATGCTGGCAGTGTGACATTGTTGAGCATTGTGGCCTTTAATCTTAGCACTGGGAAGGCAGAGGCAGGTGGATGCCAGCTTGGTGTGCGTAGTGAGTTCTAGGATAGCCAGAGAGCTACACAGAGAAACTCTGTCTGAAAAGAAAAGGGACAATGTGGCATTTTTCACCAGAACCCTGTACTCACGTATATTCTTGTAAGATCTGCAAATGACCCGATTCCCATTCTCTGCTTCATAAATAAGACTGAATCATTTCTTCCTCTTGACTAAGCAGAACAAAGTGCTTGTCAACCAGATTTTCACTGATCGATGGGGTGGTTGTGGCGGCGGTTGGTTTGGTTCTTTCCCAGACTGGGTTTCTCTGTGTAGCCCTGGCTGTCGTGGAACTCTAACTCACAGATCTGCCTACCCCTGCCTCCTGCTTGCTGGGATAAAAGGCGTGCGCCACCACCCCCTGGCTGTTTGTAATCTATTTAGAATCGAGTATCCCTATGTTACCTGGGCTGGCCTAGGAATCACGACCTTCCTGCCTCAGCCTCCCAAGAGCTGTAATTATGCAGCTATCACCACACCTAGCTCTGACCCGAGGTGAATTTTGTCTTCTAGCCCCAGGCCGCTGAACTTTCACCACCCCTGAGTCGGCCTTCCAGAAGAGTTTCTCCTAAAAAATAGGCTAAAACGTGCTCCATCTACTGTCAGTCACGCTGCCCTCAGCCAGCTCCCTGAAGTCTCTGGATTGCCCCTCCACCCCAGCCTCCCTGCTGAAGTAACTCTTAGAACTTTCCCTGAAGCGTCTCCAGATTACTAGACTTGTGTTATGTGTGATTATAGAGAAAGGTATGGACTGTATCAGTACACACAGAACCTTAAAATAAGGCCAGAGAGGTATCTCAAGGTAGTAAGCCACGTGCTTAGAATGAACTAAGTGTGCCTGGGGTTTCTAGGTTCAATCTGCCCTCCCAAAAAAGGTGGGAGCAGAGGAGCAAAGGTTCTAGGGCCTCCTGTGCAGTGCAGGGAGTTTGAGGACAGCCTGAACTATGGAAGTCTATTTCAAACAAACAAAACAAATAAGATGGGCTTGCTGGTTCACACCTGTAACCCCAGAATTTAAGAGATCAAGGCAGAAAGTCCGCCTAAATTTGAGGACAGTGTGTGTTACATTTTGAGCTCCAAGCCACTCTAGCCTACGGAGCGAGGCTCTGTCCTTAAAATAGGAAATAAGCAACAGCAAGCATGTACCATACAGTCCCCTAGTTGTGCTGAGATTGAAAGTTGACATGCAGTTGGTGATGGTGGCATGCCTTTTGTCTCAGCACTCAGGAGGCGGAGGCAGAGGCAGGCAGATCTTGTGAGCTGCAGACTGTCCTACAGTGTTAGAAGAAACTCAACTATAGTGAGTTCCAGGACAGCCGGAGCTACATACCGAGAGCCTGCCTCAAAACAAAACAAAGGACCCGAGTTCGATGTCCAGCACCCACAAATCAGAACCATCCGTAACTGTGGTCCCAGGATATCCACGGGTGCCAGTCACTCACATAGCACACACAGACGCACATGCAGACAAAAGAGCCACACACATAAAATTAAAAAACAAAATAAATCTTTAAAAAAAATTCACATGCGTCGGCTGGAGATGTCCACAGCCCCCAAATGCAGGCTGAATATGTAGAACTGGGGTGGTTGTCTTAGGTAGCAAAGGGGACTTTGTAGCTCTGATGAAGGGCTGCATCCCGAGATGGAAAGTGGCCCTGGATTGTCCAGTGGACCCATAAAGGAAGTGTCCTCACAGAGGGAAGCAGGGGAGACTGAGGATGGTACACCCTAAAGCTAGGAGACTATGTATGCCAGCCATACGTACAGGTAGCCGCTGCAAGCTCAGGGCCTCCAGGACAAACAGCTTTGACAACGTCAGCCTCGACTGTAACAAGGTAAAACTGATCTTGAACCTCTGGCCTCTGGACCTCTGAAGGAATAAATGAATTTGCCCTACTCTAAGCCACCATCGATGGCACTGTGACAGCAGTCAGGGAGACATAGGCTACTTTGTAAAGGTTGGGATCGCTGTCAGGTGAAACAAGCAGCCTGCAGAACCTGGGCAACAAGATTCCGTTAGTGAGAGCCACCAATAAAAGAACTAACTATCTTTGTATCTGCATATGCATTGTGCACATACATTTACGCTCACTTCTGTTTATGTGAACCAGAAAAGCAAGGAAGCTGGGCATGCTGGTGGATCATTCTAATTGTCAACACTTGGAAGACTAGGGCAGGAAGCTGCCTCACAGCCAGGGGTGTGGGTCCAGCCTGTGCATTGTAGTGAGCTGTTGGCATACTTTTTAAAAACTCCTTTATTTATATTTCTTATAACCATTTCTCCCTACCCCACCCCAATCCCTTCCAGCGTCCCAACACCAGGTAGGAGAGAGAAAGGGTTAGTGGGAGAGGGGACGCAGTTCTCTTAGCTGCTTCCTGCTGGTTAGGGTCGCTGGGTTCCTTGGAGCCAGCCCAGTCCCTGTTTCAGGAGATCTCCAACTTCTTGTCTCACTTCATCAACAGCAACAGGAACCGTAAGGGGAAGCAGCAGCCTTGTTCTTTCTTGGAGCTCCCCAACATTCTCTGGGCTCTGGCATTTATTCTCTCTCCAGAGTCCTCATATTTAAACTGTCTGCAGCTGGCTGGCAACGCGCTCTTCTCGGAGCCTGCGTGAGGCAAACA